TAAGGGTTGAATAAGAACTTTGTTGATTTGCAGTGTAAATTCAGGACCAGGTACAGTGCTACATTGCCACTTATAGTTGACAAGTAAAACATCGAACGGCTAATTGCAGATATTCAAAACTTCAGAGAAGTCTATGGTGGTGTTAACCATTTCTCACTAATTTTACATGTGGTTGTGTAAAATTTACTGAAAATATTTCATCAAATTGTGGATGTCCCTAAGGCACTGGCGCCCTTCCTAATATGAACGTGCTGAACCTACCTTAATCGTGTCTATAGTGATACCAAGCCCCCCAATGTCTGACAATTTCGGTGGCGTTCATGTGGCTCTTGTGCATGATTTTGTCCGAAGGGCTAAACCAAGAGATGAGCTGGAAGGCTGGGCATCTGTCGTTTTCGGAAAGTGGTAAGTCAATTATGCAGTAGTGTTTTTCACTAACCACCTGATATAACGATACTACTGACTCGGTGAAAGCTACTCGTACATAGCGGATAAAAAATAGCGTTGGAAAGTCATTAAAATGGTTTACCTTAAAGAGCATTGCATGTTTGTTTTTCTGATCTGGAGCACCGAAGGTGAGCAGATGTAACAAAATAATTAACAGATGAAAACATGAAAATAATACGGTCATGTGTGACTCCTATGTGCCTACATATTAGAATGATTAATAACAAAACAATTGTTCAGAAAACAGCAGTTTATAATGTTAAAAATTCTAAAATAAGTAACTGATTTACAAGTTTTATAACAGTCAATAAATTAGTTCACTTTTTTAGTACACATCCAAAGGTAGGCAAATAATTTGTACTTTTTCAAAGATTGTGCATCTGCATTTTGGTGACTGAAAAAGCTTCTTAAGTAGCACTGTGGCCATTTTTGTACCGTGCATCTGGCATGGGTTATCAGAGCATCAGTCATTCATGGGCATGTATACTTTCCAATTTGTTATTAAAATACTTGTTTTTTCTTCTTGATCGTAGTGATAAGGCTTTTATGAAGGGCAAGCCATTGTTCTGGTTTCCAGAATGGCTCCACATTAATGCATTCTAAAAATTAAAGAAAACATCACTTTATGTCTAACTCTCTTCTCTACTTGCCGACTAATTATGACCCCTAGACCTGCCTCCATGACGGAAAAAACAAATGCGCCACATTTGGCCAACATCTGAAATGCTGATTATTCTATTCCTAGGTGGCGCATTTCTAAATTGCTCAGACAAATTCGATACAATCGTTACAAGGCCAATCATATTTAATAACCTACCATCTTTTCAAGCATTTTTGTAATACTGGATCATCGGGAAGCTAATCGAACCTAGTTCCAACTCTGATTGACATCGGTGACAAATTGGTTTCACTCAACCCAGCATCTTTCCGTTTATTTTGTTCATGAGATTAAGGTAATCCATGTTCGCCTGTCAATGCGAAGGCTGGATGTTCACATTTGTTTTATTTTGTAAAGCTTTGAGAAAATATAGCTCATGGCGTCATGTTCGGTTGATACATTTGGCCTGTACTCTGTGATACGTGTTCACATCTTTAGGTTGCCATTTTAAACCCTTCTCATGGAACTACATCACGAAAATACAATAAATTTTAAAATCAGCCTAACGTGCCAAGTTGGCCCAGCTAGAACCCATCACTGGTCTCGGTTCCTCACAATAATCGACCCAAATTAAGCTAACAAGGCTAGGGCAAAGTGAAGTCCTCCCTTTGGACACAAAACTGCCCTAACCTTAAGGCCAAGAAAAAAGTTACGGGGTCAGTCACGCGTCGAATCTGGAGTACAAGATGATTTGTCTCACTAAGTTTCACACGTCGATTTGGCATCACAAAATTAAGCACTTGGGACTTTTTGCTGGAATACAAACAGGTATTGGCAGATTTTCTAACTTATAATACCACTATTGGCTAATTGCCTGTCCTACAAAAGCGTTTTGTCTTAGAAACTATGCTCATACTCTGTCCATTCAACATCCATCTAAATGCTAGAATGCTACAGAGGTAAATTAGTTTCTAGCATTGAAATGCCACATTTTATTAAAATTACTTCCTTTTTGAGACAGCTTTTAGCGGATACGATGTACCTGTTAGTGAACTTCCTACCAATTTTAATAGATTTAAAAAATTGACCCTCATCTGACCACCTGGAATCATAAACACACTTGTTGGTGGTGCCGACCAACTGAGGCGCCAAAATTCTAAGGCCATTTGCCTATTGTTTATGATCGAAAATTAATGATTTAATCGTTAACGTTGGCACCTTGAATCAGGCTTGCTAGTACTCGGACACCTTCACGACTTTTCTCCTGTCTACGACTGAATGAACTGCTGCATACCTGCGCCTGTCTCCTCCATGTTCACAACTACAACAGGTGGCAAATTATCAGGGCTTTAAAGTGGGACTACTACACATCATTGATCATTTGTGCTTAGACAGCTTATTTTAACTAATTTTTTCCCTGTAGCTACCTTCTAAAACATTTTGAAGCCTTGATAACTGGTCATATTTCAAGTTTTAAGTTAACTAAAGCAAAACCCTAACGCCAGAGTACTCCACGACAACAAGTCCATGCTTCTTCAGCCATTAACCGTCATCTTGCTATTGCTTTAACGTTAGCTGAACAATTTCGATTTCGCAAATTTGTACATAATTTCATTTTGCCCTTCCTCCAATTGTGGCATCTCTTAGCAACGCAATTTTCCTTCTTTTGTTAGCAAACGTTCGCGTACGGGGTTAAACCGATTTTCTCCTTTACAAGTGTAATTATAGTCATCTGTTACCCTAATGGCTCTTCCTCCCGTCACACGAACCTCCTGTCCTTTATTGGCATCTAGCAGACGATCATTTACGTTATTCAGTCAAGCAAGACTTCCCACAGACATCTTGATTGTTAAACATAGTGTCTACTTTCTTAGAGGCCTACGGATTCGCACCAATTTGGCCGTTACGCACCTCTGCATTTGTAAATTCGCATTAATTATTTCGTAGATGAGGGCCGTTGATCTGGTAGACTCCTCGTCTTGTAATTCGCACTTGGATTTAAATAGGAAAATTGAATTTCAATGGGTCTTCTTAGTTGAATGGTGGATGTCACTCTCATTTGTTCTTGCCTTATTCAGTTGAGCCACATCACTTAAGTATTATTGTACAACGAAGTACACTCTGTAATTTATAATGCAGTGTCTTTGGCTTCTCCTAGTATTTTTTTTGGTAAATAGAATAGCAGCACCACTGTTCTGGCATGTAAACTTAGAAATCATGCAGTGTAATTATGATGGCTCATGGGGTTTTGAAACAGGTACTCCTTTGTTATTATTTCCTACTCTACCAATCTGTCTCCTTCGGTAGAAAATGGAACAAAACCGGGAAAGATCAGTCGCTATTCAATGTAAATTTGGTATTCCTGATCCATCAAATTTTAATTCTACTTTAATAATAAGACAATCATTTGAAGGTTGATCCTGAGAGTCTTAAGTAATTATAAATATAACGTGATTAAGGAGTTGGTGATTTAGTAAAGCACCACCATCTTCGTAGAGTACAAGAGAAGCAGTAATCGACAAAGTGAATTGAACTTTGTTGCAAAAAATTTGGTGGCGAAAAACGTGATTTTTAATTCTTTTACTATGAGCCGCCTTGGGTATTTATCCAAGATCTCTCGGACTGGGAACAAATAACTTAGATTATATTATATTTACATAAACAAAGCCTAGTAGACGTGTAAGACCTTGAGTGGTATTACTTCTTGTGCCATAAGAAATTTCTGCGAACAATTAAAAGTAATAAAATTACTTTAACTCAATAATATGGATTCAAAAATTAAAAAAATGTTATATAGTAGTGCAAAGTCCAAATATTCTCTGTATAAAATGAAGGTCAGCCAGCTTTTGTTAAAATACACCTTTGATTTTGACAATTTTACCATGCATTTGAAAACCATTCAAGAGGATTTCAATTTCCGGCTATGAGGACAGCACCACATCGATAATCATCAGATAGTGAAAAGTTTGCGCAGAGTCAATTTAATGCAGATTACTCCAAATAATGTAGATTACTACGCACAGGGAAAAATTAGAGCAACCTTCTCCAGTCAAGTCATGTTCCCCCTTATACGAATGATTTGACTTATTTTTTCAAGAAAGTGAAGTGTCATTTTCAAAGCTTTGCCAACTTGTCAGTTTATGAAAAATTCAATTTTCTGCTCTCCCAATATACTGCGGTAAGTAATGGACTGGATATAAAAAATTTCGAAAAAAACAATTAAGTCATACATCTTGTTCTCATTTTTGGTGGGAGCAATAGTGCATTAAGTGAAGATGCCAAAAAATTTCGGAAGATCGTTTAGGACGCGATAGAGGAAATAAGAAAAACCTCCAGAACTTTTGAATTGTTTAACAACAGGTGTTCCCTTTTTATGACTTGCATTTTGTATTACCATTACCAATAACTGTGAGAAATTCATTTGATAAAAAATGCATAATTTACGTCAAAAAGCCTTATTATATCTATTTAAATAATTGACTACACTGAAACGCTAAACAGAAATGGATAATCATCGACCTATTCAGAAAGCAGAACTCAAAGCTCTAGCGAACTAATGTGCCTTAAATCCTACCACTTTCTGTCAATGCGCTCATAGTTTCTCCCAAATCGTGTTAATTTTAGCTCGTAACACCAGTATACTTATCCAAACACGAACTTCAGAAGCATCTCTAGCTTGGGGTTGACGTTTCACTTCATTTTGGGCTCTCAAATATTTAGTATTTTAAAATAATTAAGAAGATGTTGGTAACTAACCACGTATGCGACTGCAAGTAGGATTACTTGCCATTTTGAATATTGAAAATGTAACCAAGTTAGAGCAAATTCCAATTTTGCTAAACATGTGGACGTAAATTTCCCTTTAATAAACAGAAAAGCAGAAAATCGGACAATAAAAAAATAATCACATGCCGCATGTTCTCTTCGTAAATGCCTCAGAATCTTTCATGATTTATCAGTTCCGTCCACAAAGTTCTTTCAGGCGCGTTCGGAATGCCGGCGAAACCCATGAATAGATGAAGAAATTTACTGCATTGTTGATATAGTAAAACTCATGGTGAATGTAGACGGAGCCTGGGTTCATATGAACGTCTTTGGCCAGGTCTTCCCTGGTTCCGGAATCGGTTGACCAGTTTCCAAAATGTACAATTAAGACGGGCAAGAGGGTCAGGTAGAACACCAGTGTCGCAATGAATAGTGTCCGAGCAGTGCGCCGAGCTCTTGGCGGATTTGAAGGCAGACCACTCAGAAGGCGTGCTCTCCTCCTGTCATAGCTTCGGATTGCCAGTAAAACACAAATGTAGGGGCCACAGACTAGAGGAAACGTAACCATCGTAAAGACAAGATAAAGCCTATTTAAAAAATATCGGAGTCGTTCTGCATCGAGAGATTTGCCCCCTTCCTTGTATTGCCTTACGTGCAAAATGAACACAGCAGCTTCAAATGCAATTATAATTAAACTGGTTATAAGGATGGGTAAGAGAACACACAGCTGTCTTCGACGATTGGGCGAACTGACTGAAGCCACGGGGAGGTGTGGTCGTCTTTCCTGCCTCTCTAGCACCTCCTCTAACTTGTTTTGAGTTGCGTCGGGGGATGTGGCAATAATTTTGTCAAGGACATCGATTTTAGGGCCACCTGGCTTGGGAGAAACGTCTATGCTTGACATAGGAGAGGATGAAATCTCACTGACACTGGAGGCACGTTTGCGTAACTTATTTCTCATATTTTTCAAGTAGGGACACCCAATAACCAAAAATCGATCGATTGCAATCGCAGTCAGGATGCTTCCTTCAAGGGCAAACATGATGTTTCTTACGTTGTCGATAAGTCCGTACGCAATGTTGTTAATGTTTGTGTTACAGTAGATACAGATGTTCAGAAAGGTAAAAACCTTGTATCCAATGTCACAAGGTAGCACAAGCGCCGACGTCAGAAGGTCTACCACCGAGAGAGCAATCAACAGTTTCCGTTGGCTGTGTTGAAGACCTCTTCGAAGCCTTGGGGTTTGTTGCGATGAAGCAAAACATGACCAAATCGACTTAGGGCTGGGACAATAAACTAACAGAACTAGTGTGTTTCCGGCAATGCCTAGAATCCCGATAAACGAAAGAAGTCCGATTGAAACCAGGGTGTACCTTTTGTCGGTAACTTCTTTAAGCAACACACGACAAAACAGCGTTTTATAAGCTGGGGCTGAACAGTTCATTTCTTTTGTGGGGTCAGTGCATGGCTACAAGAAGGCTGCAAGAACATTAAAATTAGTACAGAGCAGCCTGAACCAATCACACAACAGAAAGAAAGATGAAGGTAATTGGTCGAGTAAATGACGGCTCCTGGAGCTGCCATCGTGTACCAAACCAGATATTTAATTTATCCGCCTGATGGTGTTAAAACATACCAGAGTGATTCACAATAACAGACTGAATGGTGAAGTAACCATTGACATTACAGAAACACCTGTACTACTAAAGTTACAGATGCGATGACAACAGAATGAGTCAGTTGGATGCATATAACCAATGGATACAAATAATTAAAAGGGCCAAATTAGGTAACTAAGCCAAACCACTGAAATTTCGAGGCGATTTTACTTGGTTAACAATAAAAAATTTAAATCCCAAGGCACTTTTACTGAGATGTTGTAGGTTAGGAATTTTTGTGAGAACATTCTGCCATGTTTGCTACTTTGCAAAAGTGCCGATGACGCAAACTCGATGCAGGGTTTTCATCACTGGCTTTTGTGCAGAAAAAGCCACCGCACAACATCCAAGACCTCTCACTGCATAATTACGACCTTTGAGTATTCAAAAGACACGATCGAAATTTCTTGAATTAACAACCATCCAGTGGAAAAAGTTGCCTTTAGAAACTAGAAATCCAGTCAACAAAACCATCCTAAGCTAATGTCATCTGAATGCAAGACTTATCTGACTTTGCATTTTCCTGTAAATTGTTAGCTTTCAAATAGGCATCTTCGGTCGATAAAATCAACTAAAATTCAAGCACTACAGCAGAGAGGTATAAAACACAAATCTTTTTTCCCAATTGCTACCAACACGACACACTATTTAAAAATCCTTTCATTTGCAGTAACACCACTTAACAGCTTATTTGCCAAATTTATGTGATTTCCCTTTTAATTTTCTCGTAAAAGTACATATAACTGAGGATGTCGTGGGAATAGCAATGTAGTTTGTGCCATGCTTTTACAGAGAACATTATCATTCACTAGCAATCACGATGGGTCGTAACCTATCCAGGAGTATATCGAAGTCTAGAAAATGAGTCACACGCACGATCCTCAGTTCATAATGGGGCTCTGCGACCGTCGTTAGGCCGCAGCCACTGCAGACATTGTTTGTGAGGTTACAGTAATGGATAAACTTGAAAAAGTTAGCCTCAAATTATCCCACGGTCAGAAACCGGAGAAGATACCCAAGTCAACATTACACCACAATGGAAAACTTTTAAATAACTGGCGAATCAGTGCTGAATCAAAACGGAAAATTTGGCCTAAAAGCGACAATTACTCACTAATGCAAACGAGAGCGCACGAAGAGACTGTAACACTCTTAGCTGGCGAAGCCTGACCAGACAGCGAATGAAGACCTCCTCGCGCAACGACAGCACCAAAAGAAGCAAATTTCGCAGCCTTAGTTTTGTGATCAGGCGACAGCGAAACACTTTTATGCAACGCTCGACCGCACACTGGCACGGTCACTTAGGAATTTATTGAAGAAGTGAGGCGGAAATATCTACCGCACCTACTGCCTAGTCTGGGATTATTTTTGTTCAGCTAAGAAGTGTTTATAAAAATTTAAAATTGTTGGCTCAGCGAGACTGATTTAAGGACCAAAAAACCAGTAATAATAGACAAAACTTTAAACTTGGAATTACAACTGATGGTTAGCAGCGCTTTCAGCCTCCGGAAAGTTGGTTGTATGAAAGGTCAATTGTAAAAGTAATCCAAGAATTATCAGTGCGTCTTCACTGCACAACGTCCAAAAGGTGACACGTGGATGGCAGAAATTCATTCGCTAATTTAAGCATGCGCGGGTATTTCTTCAATGCTGCAAGCAACATTGTAAACACCTTCTTAAACGGGCCTTGATAATCGAAAATAGAGAGATGACACTGATTGGACATTAAATTTATTAACATAACAAAACACGACCTTTGAATTACTCGTGCCAAAAATGTCATCTTTTAAATCAAGAAATCGGCATAGCTGTTAATGGCAAGATCAAGGGGGCGATTGGTAAACGGAGAGTGGTGTGAAATAAGTTCTCACCGCTAGCACTTATCAAATGTCGGTATTTTTACTTTACTTATTGAGAAGATGGTAACTTTTAGTGAAAAAAAACAAGGCTGTACTGTAAACGTCATCTACTGAAGGTTTAAGCTGAACAGTTGACAAAATTCCACAATCTTACGCTGCATACACAAAGCGATAGAACCAAAAACTAGCCTACTTTGTGCCAAACCAGAAAAGTAATTTAAGAATGCTAAACCAATATGACGCGTTACGCAGTTATCGACTTGAGGCTGGCGAAAAGGCTGGCTTTTGTAAATAACAGGTGAAACATGGAAGATATCTTAAAGAAGCACTCTGGATCAGCCTGGTCACACATAAAGAAAATTTGGGAATTCCCATGCTCTTTGTCAACTGGACAGTAGTGCTGAATTATTTTTGACTTCTTCGCTAAGAGCTTGAGAGCAGGAGTAGCACAAATGCATTAACTGCGGCTTGAATGACGTTTGGATCTACAGGATCTTTTCGATGCGTCCCCCCTCGGAGTGGACTTAGGCGTCACTCAGACCCCCATAAGCCAATCAGCTGACTGTGGCATGGGTCCTGTTTTAATACTGACAAATGTGTGTGGTTGGAGAGTCATTTGTTTTGTCTTCGAGACTTTAGATCACGAGATCAGATCTTCGGAGAGTAAGAAATAACTAGAGACGTGTTTTTAAATCTCACGATCTTACGCTACACCCACAAAGTGATAGAAACAAAAATCATCCTATTTTGCGTCACGTTAGCGAGAAAATTTAGGTATGATGAATCAAAAAGACCAAAAATAGTTTGCCAATTGCGAAAAATTATGTCTTAGCTCTTTTTTCGGTAAAGAAAATAAGATCTAAGTGGAAAACTAAACTTCATAACGAGAGGAATACTAGACATAGAAAGATAAAGTTCTAAGTATTGCAGCATCTCAACTGCACTTTTGCTAAGTACTTGAAGAGCAAAAAGAACACGACGCTAGGAAATATAAAGTTTGCTTTAGACAAAAGGCCTTAGTGAATCAGGTTTCTTCTCATTCACACTCACAGCCTGCTTACGTATGCGGTTCGCATCATTTGAAAACCCTATTTAAAGGACACTGACTTGGAATACAATGTTAAAATTAAGAGCACTCCTTAGCGCAACACTCAACACAAATGGAGTTAGTGATTTGTATTTCAATACACCAAAATGTCTAAAAGAGTGATTTTAGGGAGAATCGGTTAATGCAATTTCTCGAACGCTTGTTGCAAAGTCAGATCCTGAAGTTTAATTATGAATTAGATTAACGTCCCTATAGTTGAATGCAAGTAAAGTTACATTACATTTGAGTTTGAAAATACGCAGAAAGCTAGTGTTTCCCTAACTTTTATTACTTGCACAGTATGCTTTCTAAGACGTGAGAGTTTTGGAGTGAACTGAAAACAAATATTGGGGTTCAAATAAAGATTGGGAAGTGTATTTGAATGTCGCGTGCTTGAGATGTGCTGGCGCTAGCTGTGGGAGTCTTTTGGTCAACAGCAGCCTGACCTTGGGGCAAGATAGGGCGCAGAAACTACCAGAGAACAGAGAGTTGATGCTTCGTTCACCGGAAGTTATCAAATCGACAGGCCTCCCGGTATCAATGTTTCCCATAAAAGAAGCGGTTTCCTTCACACGAGCAATTAGAGTTTTGGCACTAAGTCAAGCTGGCAAAAGCTTAAATGCGCCTCACCACCAATCACAGTTCAGCCGTAACTGGAGTGTGGAAAGGAGTTTAGCTTGGCTTACACCTCCTGAAAAATTTCCTTGGCAAATACTTTAGTTACCATATTGCTGTTGGACAAAAATAACGCCTCGTTCTCACAGTTGACAGTAACATTCACTTTTGACTGTGCTGATGTTTTTTGCATTTTATAATCATATTATTAACTGATGGCTACCTAAATGCATCAAGGTAGGGTTAATATTCAAAATAGAAAGTGAGGATTTACATTTGCTTTGTGATATTTTTGTTGGCTGTACAAGGAATAGGTACTGGAACTGCAACAAAAAATCAGGGATTGCATTTGTGTCGTGGTTCTGCTCTTAGAACAGTTAGGGGTGTTTTAGTAGATCTCGAAAACAACTTCAATCTAAATAATAAATTTAGCTTCGACTGACTTTTCAGCATTGACGACAACCTTATCCGTGATTTATTGAATAGTATCACTGAATAGGTTGCTAAGGAACTTAATTCCGTTGATTTGGCTGCACTTAGATATTTAAAGCGAGTTGAATACACGTCGAACCTCGATGTTTGGATTCCTCACGTTTCGACAGAAGGAAAACAAACGAAACCGCAATTTCACAGTTATTTCAACCCCGTCAAACGAAAAACAAACCTTCGTGAAACAAATCATAAATAAAGGTGAAGCATGATTTGTGCATAGCAGAATTGTAAGAAAAATACAACACAAACATGAATAATTCGTTGCATTTCATTTGGTTTTCAAGTGGGTACGATGTCCGGCAACCTTGAATAGAAAAACCTGCACATATTCAAGTTACTTCATCACCACCTTGTTAAATGTAAAGGTGACCGGTCAGGTAACCTTAAGTAAATAAAACTAAAGCAAAGCATAATTTGATTTGTTCAATACTATTGAGTAACTCCTGGATATTTAAGTGGGTTTACTGATAACACGCAGAAAAAGAACCTAAAAATTAAATTTCCTAATTTTTGGAGGAATCCTGTCAAATGTTACAGTGATGTAATAAGAGTGTTTTAAACTTATTTTAACTTTCCAAAGCACAAAACAGACAGAAAGTCGAATCATTTGTCATAAAAATATTTGCCATGGTTTTAATTTAATATTCAATCAACAAATATAGGTCAATGGGTTAGTATCGAAACCTGTCAATCAAGTTATATTCCTCAGAAAGCATTTCGACTTAATCAAAAT